ATCAACATTAGAGAATGAATTAAAAATGAAACTTTATATCTGTGAAGAGTTTTTACATCTTCAGCAGGAACCAATGAGCCGAGAGCTACAGAGGGGGGAGGGGTTAAGAGACGGACGACACACTGACAATAACAAACAGAACAGAACAACACCAGACTGATCCTGAAGGAGCAACAACAACAACAATAACATCAACAACAACAACAATATCAACATCAATAATATCAACAACAACATCAACAACAGCAACATTAACAACAACAAAAACAACAGCAACAACAACAAAAACAACAACAACAACATCACCAACAACATAAACATTAACAATATCAACAACAACATCAACAACAGCAACATTAACAACAACAAAAACAACATCAACAACAACAAAAACAACAAAAACAACATCAACAACAACAACAACATTAACAACAACATAAACATCAGCAACATCAACAACAGCAAAAACAACAACAAAAACAACAGCAACATCAACAACAGCAAAAACAACAACAACAACAACAAAAACAACATCAACAACAACAACAACATTAACAACAACATAAACATCAGCAACATCAACAACAGCAAAAACAACAACAACAACAACAAAAACAACATCAACAACAACAACAGCAACATCAACAACAACAACAACAACATCAACAACATCAACAACATCAACAACAAAAACAACATCAACAACAACATCAGCAACATCAACAACAACAACAACATTAACAACATCAACAACATCAACAACAACCTCAACAACAACAACAAAAACAACATCAATAACATCAACAACAAAAACAACATCAACAACAACAAACACAGATCACTGCAGGGTTCATATGTCCTGCTGCACAACAACAGAGTTATAATAACAACAACAACAATAATAACAATAATAAAAATGATAATGATAATAATAATAATATAAAATAAATTCCTCTCCTCTCCACCTCCCTCAGACCCCCATCCTCCAGATCTTACCCCCTGCTCGTCCACCAGAAGTGTCCTCTGACAGGAGCAGCTGGTAACACCCCCACCCCCCCAGACTCACCAGATTGATCACATTTTCATAACCACCTCTCCCCCAGTCACAGCTCACCTTCTACATCATTAATGAGCAGATCCACAGATCCAGGACTCTGGACTCGGGACTCTGGACTCTGGACTCTGGAACTGGACTCTGGACTCTGGACTCTGGATTCTCTCTGGACTCTGGTTGTGTCTGTGTCAGATCCAGCTGTGGAGAAGGAGCCAGATGTGACAGGCTGATGTTTAACACGTTCACATCTGTAACTGAAGTAGTGGACAGGTCATGTGACCTAGAGGAGGTGAGGAGGGTCAGAGAGCTAACACACCTAACCCTGCCTCCAACACTCAACTCAACTCAACAAACTTTATTGACGACATTTTCATTGTGTTGCCAAAACACAATTACATCATTCAATGGAATTAAATCATCAAAGACAAAATGTCAATAATAATATTTATATAATATAAAACAAAATAATTGTGATAGAATTAATAGAATAAATTGATTATGAAATACAGAAAAAAAATTATTATAATCAATTATAAATTATTATATTAATTTTATATCTCATGTCTCATAACCACAAGGTACAGATCCCACCTGTTGTGTTTCCCTCCGCTGTCTGTTGTGAGGTCTGTTCACACACACCTGAAGACACCTGAAGACACCTGTCATCGCTCGTGGTGGTGTGTGGGTCATGTGACCCGGGTCATGCTCTGAATCTGCTTTTATACTTGTGTGTATGAAGAGTCAGACATGAGCTCATTCTGACTCGTTTCATTTATTTAAGCTGCTGGATCATCACCTGAACTCTGACATGAACACAGGTGAACCTGTCGCCATGGTGACATGTTACTGTACATAAACACACACTGATGTCTGAGAGTCGCTGCTATATCTTCACCAACATCACAACAACAGCTGGGTGGATAAAGCTTCTTCTTCTCCTGGAGGAGGGGGAGGAGGAGGAGGAGGATGAGGAGGGGGAGGAGGAAGGGGAGGAG